GAGGACTCTGAGTCTCCTCTGCAATGCCAGCATTCTCCACAGATTCATCTTCTCCAAATTCCATAGACACCCAATTTGCCATTTCTTCAATAGCATCATTATCTGCTTCAACTGAACCACCTTCACAAGATTCATTATCTGCTTCAAGCTCAACATTTGCATCGAACAGATTGTCATCCTCCTCATTTTCTGAAGAATCAGAAAGAAAGTTGTAGTCTTCATCCTCAGTCCCATCACTTTCCACATCCTGAGCTTCATTCACATTCTGAGTTTCATTAGCTTCTTTCTGGTTAATATCTGCATCTTTCAAGTTAATCCCTCCCTGTGACTCAGATGAACTATCATGACTTTCACAATCTTGTGGATCACCATCATCAAAATAAATAGTTAACTCTCTTTGGCTCTGGGTAGACAATTTATCTATCTCCACCAGATTTAGTTCTTCATTGGTCTTTATTTGAACAGCTATGTCTTCTTCATTAATGTAGTAATACCTAATTGGTCCCTTGATACCTTCTCTCTCTGCCAGCTTGTCCAAAGCAGCCAATGATGTAAACCCTATTTGCACCCAGTCAAATTTATAAGCTGCCCCACCTATGTAATGTGGTCCCCCTTGCATGTGAAGATGACCTCCAAAGTAAACACATAATGTGTACTGTGTGCTTTTTACATCTGCCAAACATTTAAAAACAACACTATTAAACAATAGAACACCACAATGCACTTAAAATAATTCTCTATATTAAAGACAAAAAGTTCAAAGGTTCTGCACATGCCCCCATTGTTGCACAAACAAACAAACAACAATTTTCTTTAAAAAATAAAAGCTTTGGTCGTACCAACAACCAACTCAGTTATTCACAACTTTAATTGTTGCACAAACAAAAGCAAACAATAGATTTCTTTAAAAAATACAACATTTTTCGAAACCAACAACCAACTCAATTATATCATTACCCATATTGAGGACTCTAATTCAATAAACCCACAAACAACTATATTAATCGAAAATTTTAGCTCAAACAACTATATTAATCGAAAATTTCAACTCCCAATTTCGCGTTAATAATACAATTGAAAGCCTAACTTACCATATTTCAGAGGAGGATCATCGAACGCAGACGGCGATCTAAACTTCATCGAGCCCGATTCATATATGCTCCCACAATTTCACGTTTTTTGGGTACTGATTTGTCTTAGTTAGGGTTTGTGTTTTGGGAGAAAATTTAGTCGATTGAACTCTTTGGGGAAAATGATTTGGATCCCGTTTTTAATTTCTGTTTTTTATGCCATTTTTTATTTTATATTTTAAATACACGTGTGCGGGTTAAATGACACGCAGGCGGGTTAAAAGACACGCGGGCGGGTTAAAGGACACGTAGGCTCATCCGGTAACCTCGACCTGCAGTAGGCGGTCAGAGGACCAAAAAACTAATTTTTTTTCAATTAGGGGACTATTTCCAAAAACCGTCCATTAGCGGGCCCAAAATGAAAATGGCCTGCAGATAAAGGACGAAAAAACTTTTTTTTTCGTGTACATAACACTCACATCTAGTGGAACCTACCAAAATTAAAAAAAAATCAAGTGGATCCATTCCATGTGAGTGTTATGTACACCTACATTTATTATGTACTTGTAGCATTTTTTTTTAAAAAAAAAGCCTGATGATGGACTTCATAAAAACTCAAAA